TTTTTTTAAGTGTTTTCGACTACATGATTAATGCATGTCTTAATTTAACACGAACTTTTAAGATAAAACAAGTAAATGCAATTTATAAGTAATGTATAGACCTAACTTACGTTAAATAACAGAGGCAAAAAGATAAACCGTTCGCAAGTAATTAAACGCGACTGTTATCTTCATCGACTGTGTATTTTTCTTCTATATGAAGCGCACTCGATCTTATCTCAAAAGTGCTTTATAGTGTTAAAATTATTGTTACTCTTATGAAAAAGCAAAATAAATTTAAAACTGATTATAAATTATAAATTTAATTTTAATCAATATCATACACAAATTGTAATAGTTAGTTTTAATTTTGGGCTGGTAATAGCAACAAAATTAATATTTATACATAAGCTATAATTAGGTTATAATTTTACATTTAAAGATATACTTTAGATACGTTGTATAATAAAGATCTATCGATAAACCTAAAGGTATAAAAAATAATTACATTTAAAAATTGCACTGGGAAATGTAATAATGTTTAATTAAGTATTTTTACGCTACAGCTACATTATGATTGTACCATGCATGGGTCAGCTCGATCAAGGAGCGGCTCTCACGAATTACGAGCGTAAAATTGCAGCTTTATGCTGCTGTGCTTCGTATGGTACTCACCGGAGAACCGGAAACCCTTTTTGCTGGAAACGAGGCATTCCATCTTATTCCTCAGGTTGATAACGCTTCTACATTTTGATTCTTAAATAAACGTAGGAAAAAAAAAAAAAAATTTTTTTTTCCTTCGGTGTCAATGCCTACGGGCCACAACATCTAGTTACCATCAGTTGGGTGTTTTTTTTATAGAATAAGGGTTACAAACGAGCACTAAGTCCATCTGATGGTAAGTGGATACTGTGGCTTTATCTTTAATTAAGAATCAAAATGCAGATACATTGTCACCTCTGAGGACAAAAATGGAATACCTGCTTGTTTGTCACTTCGTATTCTAAAACAATTTAGTTTATTTTCGGCCTTATTATTCAATTTAATTGTTTGCTTTTAGTAACAGGAAAGTTTTTGCTATGATTAATATTGGTTTGCACAGGTTATCGATCGAAGTTGCTACTGTAGTGTAGTGAACACAAACACAGAAGAATTGTTCACTCATAAGAATACTATAGTATGGTGCCCTGTAAGCGCTAGTATCCAACTTTCTGACCGCTGACACCAATGAAATTATTAATTATTACATGTACTAATTTACCAAGTACTCCATTGTGTAGAAACTAAAAGTAAAGAGCTACTTTTCAGAATATTACTAGTATAACTATTGAATATCCGTATTTTCGATCGTCGTTATGTCGTGTTTTTGCAGTCTAAATGTCCCACTACTGAGTCACGGGTTCTAAGAGAGTCACTCAACTTGCTCAGATATTGTGGTAGAGCCACGATGTAGCTATATATATTATAGTTGTAGCACGAATGGATCGGCTAGACCGGGGTAGGACCACGCTCTCACAGAATACCAGCGTAAAATCGCAGGTTAATACTGCTGTGTTTCGTATGGTGAGTGTAGAGATCCGGAGATCCTATTTTACTGGAAACAAGACATTCCATCTTAGTACTTAGGGGTGACAACGCATCTGCGTTTTGATTCTTATTTGAGGATAATTGTAGATGTATAGGCCACAGTATCCACCTACCATCAGGTGGTCTGTGTGCTCGTTTGTTATCCTTATTTTAAAGAAATGTATTATATTATCTGTGACCATGGTGCAGTACTTAAGCTGTGATATAATCTTAGACTCTCACTTTTAGACTCTTAAGGATAGATTTGGACTAGTTGCTATCTCTACTCTCTACTGACAGAGTACATAATTCTGGGACTGTCTTATGCGTTTGATTACCTTCAACCGTATTTAAAATGTTGTAACTGCTAACAAAATTAGTCAAAATGACATCACACACTTATTTTCAGCAGCGATTGAAGAAGTAATATAACAATCCGAAGCGATTGATACTTTAATATAAAACATCTTATATTTCTGTTTGATTTCTTCTCGTTGACTATTTACGGAATAAAGTGCTATATAATATATAATTGTAAGGTTTATATTACAAATTAGCTGTTATTGTTTAATATACTAGATATATTGTACTTTTATTTTAAATAACTGGCTGTTACTGGTCACACGTTTCTGTGGGTGACCAGTTTTTTACCTTTAAGTCCAGCAGATAATTTTTTAATTAAAAAGAATGCAAATTTGTGTTAAAATTTCAAACCAATCGGTGAAAAACTTTTGGAGATTTTGAAGCTTTTGCACATGGGTACACTCACTTTTATATAAAGGATTAACTTCGAATTGTTGTTTTTGTTGTCACATAAAAATGCTTTATATACTGACCATAGGTTTTAAGATAACCATATATTATATTTATACGAAATATACATATTGACTTTTTTTAAATATAGGATAATGGTGACAAACGAGCAAACAGTCCACCTGATTGTAAGTGGATGCTGTGGCCCAAGACATCTACATTTAACCTCGCGTAAGAATCAAAAATTCAGATGCGTTGTCACCCCTGAGCTCAGACGAAATAAAAACTTTTTATTCGAAATAAAAAGTTTTTATTTCGTCTGTCCCCTGAGTACAAAGATGGAATGCCTCGATTCCAATAAAACAGGTCTCGGGATCATTACACTCACCATACAAAGCACAGCAGCATTAAGCTGCTACTTTACGCTGGTATTCTGTGAGAGCGTGGTCCTTCCCCAAACGAGCCGACCTATTCGTGCTACAACCATAGTATAACTGCAGCGTTGCTAATTAAATTCTACGGATTAATGATAATTAACTTGCTTTTCATTCCCGATATTTTAAATGATTTGCTGCAACTATGTTCTTTTTTGTGCAGGCAGGTCTAATACGACATATCACTGCGATCAAAATTATCTATTGTAATTAGATGTATAGTATTTAAATGAATACCAGCGTAAAATAAAAGCTTAATACTACTGGGTTTCGTATGGTGAGTGTAGAGATCAGGAGTCCTTTTTTACCAAAAATGAAGCATTCCATCTTAGTCCTCAGGGGTGATAACGCATCTGCGTTTTGATTCTTAATCGAGGATAAATGTAGATGTCTATGGGCCACAGCATCCACTAACCGTAGGTGGACTGTGTGCTTATTTGTCACCCTTATTCTATAAAAATATGCTGCTATAGTTATAGTTCACCGCTAACCTATACTATCCTCAATGAATTGAATGAGCTACTCATCAGTGAGCATTTTCACTTCTTCTGAGCTAATTAAGTAGTTGCCCTGATTAGAGTTTCATTTGCGTGTGTGTATATTAGTATATTGCGGGTTTACAGTCAGTTAGGATGTGCAGAAATGTTTCTTTCGTAAAAGAACAGAACCGACACATCCCTAAGATGCCTAGTCCCAAGATAGCCATTTGCTTTCTTAACAGCTATGTTCAGTCGAATATGCACTCTGATTTTCTTTAACTCCAGCACTTCTGATGCTAATATACGATGACATGCTGGAGTTAAGGTTTTCGAATATTTTAAACCTGGTTCTCAGACCACATCTAACGTGATTTTTGTGGTAAAGAGTTTCAAGGGTCAGTCGGGCCAAGCTTTTAGAGATTTCACAAAATGTCTCGAGTCATAATTGTGTTTTCTTTGACCTTTTTCGTGCAAGCTTATCGGCTTTTTCATTGATCATTGCCTACAATACCCGCATAACATGTCCACCTACGGTTACTAGTAACTATATGCTAATTGTTTGTACCAAGGTACTAGAGACGTTAAGTATTAAAAATAATAAAAAAAATGGGACAAAATCATAAAAATTGATTTATAAAACTTTAAATTTGTATATTTATTAATGACTTATCCTGGTATATAAAGAAATAAATCGGCTAATCATAAATATCATTAACAGGCATGTTCATTAGTAGATTTTCTTAATATATCTTAATGAATGGATTATGTGATTATCATAATAAAACTGGTCTAAATGTTGGAAACCTTGACAAGGTCGAAACGCATTAGAATGTTCTTAAAAACAATACAATGTCAACGTGATTCCCGGAACAGCGACTAGCAACATCTGCGTCTGTCTTTATCTCAGGACATCTACAAGCGACAGCCGTACTGTGCTTGTACGTCTCATGTTATGTTCTTTATTATTATTTATATCGCTTTTTTAATTGCTTTGACACTTTTCAGTGTACACCTTGCTTAGAGTTGTATTTTTAAGATGATAGACAAATTTCTCTTGAAAAATACATAGCGTTTTAATTTTTGTTTATTTGTGATATTATACATGTTGCGTAATAGATAATGAACAAAAGTTGTTACTTGTGTGAAACTAAAGTTATATATCATGTAATAAGACATTATTTTGATTTCTTGTGATATTACATTGCCTAAACATTACTTTTCAAATATGTAAACAGAAGAGAAGTAAAGAGAAGACATAAAAAAACTAAGTACTGGAGACCAATTCAAAACAAATTAACCTCCCATAAAAAATCTGATTCACTAAACACCAGAAGGTTAGGATCTATCAAAAATCATACGTCACGGTGACAGCGCACTTTCCCCATCATTAGGAGTCGACAAGAAAAAAGTCTTCGGATGTTCAGTTGTTAGCGCCCGCCAACAAAGCCATTATGCCTTATTATGAAGATCATCCATCACACATCCATATTGATCAGACAGTAATACAGCCTAATGTTTTATAAATAGTATATAATTTGTGTCTCCACCTTTGAATCCAATTGATAAATTGTTTAGGAATGGAGCAAAATGTTGATTTTTAACGTAGGCGTGTCTTCGTTACGATTTCATCGAGGAAGCTGAGCTATTAATGATTTCACGCCGATACTAAAAAAGTGTGAATCGGGCTTCTTACATCTTTCATTGTTCTTGCGGTCTATGAGCATAATCAGGCGATACAGTTATTCATTTGGCATGCACACGATAATAATTTAGAAAAAGGGTTACTTACTTTGGCCGAGATGTACTCGCTTCATCCATGGGTAAATTTGTGGAGGATTCGCTTGAGTGTTCGATGCAGTTTTTGAATTCTTCGTGTTATTTGAGCTGGAATTATTCGCTTCATTGCTTTCATTGCTCGATGTGCTTGACGCCGGACTTGAGATGTTCTGGTTCACATTGGCTTTGTGTTCCACTGGTGATGCAATTGGCGTCGTGAGACCGAGCTTAGTGCTCGTATTTCCAGCGTTTTGACCAACATTGCCGAAGCCTGGAGATGTTCTACCGGGCCCAGACGATGTTGAAAGATCTTGCGGAGACGCGACTCCAGTTGTAGAAGTAGAGTCGGCAAATTTACAACTGGCATTAGCTGCTTGACTTGATGGCGTCGCCATCAGATTCGGCGATAGTGCCCCAGGACTCGGGTTAGAGTGTTGATGCATATGGCTTGGGGTGCTTCCAAGTCTTTGTGGATGTAGTTGTGTGTAATCGATCATTGTTTGTGGTTGCATGTGCGCACCTGCTGCTGGTGTTGCGTATGGATGTTGCGGGTAATGGTGGCCAACCTGTGGTGGTGAATAACAAGCATTTGGATAGGCTGAAGCTGCTGCATTTGGGTTATAGTAATCAGCACCCGGAGTAGGCAAACCGGGGTGACCACCTTGTTCGACAGGCGTACCAGTACGCCCCGGCGCCTGATTCCCGTAACAGGACGCGAGCGAGTTGACAAATTGATAGGAACTCATTCCTGCGTTGTAATTTAGGTCGTTCATCGATAACAGATTGTCTTTCACTTATTTTTTCGAGCTCAGTCGGACGCTGACATTCTTTAGGCGAGTCCTGAATAGTCTAGATGGACATATTAAGTGCTCCAGATGTTCCCGTTACAATTGTCCTCTTGTAGTGGAACTTGATTGATGGACCTGTGATAAAATGAGACACATTAGTTGGTCAAGTGTGATGTTCTGTTACTTTGGACTATTGAAATCATTTATAAATAATGTGCGAATGTATTAAAAAGAACAAGTAGCGATATATCATTTCTTTTAGAATACTTTTCGCATTAATATTTTTTCTATTCAAATTTTATAGACGGAATAGAATACACACGTATCTAAATTTCAATTGCGTGATCGTATACGCTGTTCTCTGTTAATTAACACGCTATAATTAGCGCTCGATTGCTATTTTAATTTAAAGATGCACAGAGTGTGAAAAACAGACACGCGAACGCATTCAAACTATGGTATTAATCATTTTATTTTTGCATGAAATAAAATATGCATTATCTTTTCACCTTTCTATACGAGTAGGCTGAGATACCAAAGTTGTTTACTTAATATTTAGCAGGTGGCTCAAGACGTGCTTTGTGGAATTTCTTGGGGTAGAGGATATATAGGAGAGGTAGAGATGTTCAGTAGTGGACTTGTCAAGAGCTGTAATGATGATGATGGTGAAATAAGAATAATTAACGTATCTGCTACCTAAAATGTATTTTAGTTTAGTGTCTTTACTTTTTGTTGACACTGTTATATTATATTAGTAGGCGTAATGTAAATATTTTGAATCTTAAAATTTATATATTAAAACGTTATTGAAATCAACACGGGTTTTCCGATGCCTAGTTGCCATTCTAATTCGATGAAAATCAATATGTAACTTCATCCTTACTCTCATCCATAAGGACTAAGAATTTGCCCATTGCTAACTATTTGATCTACTGTTGTTATCACTAGTCATAAAAAGCGGAAATATGTTGTTATGTAAAAATATAATCCATTTGAGCTAACCAATTCATAAGCTGCACTTTACATTTAACTAGATAGTAATAATTGAATTTTTGAACCCAGGTTTGGAACTTTTTCTGTACATAGGTTATATGAGATCCCTACATATTTATTTTGTCCTTAAGTCCCGCTAAAACTCGAAAATTGCTTGATCGGTTTTGATAATACACGATCACTAACAACTACATGGGGGTCTATTACAAAACAATAAATTTATCAAGCGACTTTCATGTCTAACGAAACGCACATGTCAAGTCAAGTGCGGAAAAAATCACATCTCCGCCACGTGGTAGAGCTATAAAAGTGTCTGCGGAGGTTTATGGGTGTAAGCGGTAGGCCGAGTGTGACTGCGACCGATTTATGGACCGTTCCCGATGCATACATCTTCAAGAGCAAATTAGCAGTCATTGTGCATTCGATTTATTCATCGTGAATGCAGCTCGGATGACAAATGTGTGAAATTTGGACTACAAATTGCGTATTTACGACGACGGATGAAAATTATACCAATTTGATACATCTTACACCTTAGTTAAACGTTGATTGTATTGAAAAGTGCATTTCATAAGTAAATATGCCAAATTTATTGGATTTGAAGGATGCTATATAGCAATTATAGTATAGTTCTAGCACGAATGGGTCGGCTCGACCGGAGAAGGACCATGCTCTCACAGAATACTAGCGTAAAATAGCAGCTTAATGCTGCTGTGTTTCGTATGGTGAGTGCAAAGGACCGGAGACCCTTTTTATTGAAAATGAGGCATTCCATCTTAGTCCTCACGGTTGACAACGCATCTGCATTTTGATTTGCAATCGAAGATATATGTAGATGTCTATGGGCCACAGCATCCACTTACCATCAGGTAGACTGTGTGCTCGTTTGTCACCCTATCCTATAAAAAAAGCTGCTAAACTTTAACCAACTAACTAACCCGCTGTACCTAATGTGTATGTGTTGTACCTTGCTAATTTATTAACGAGGCACAGACGACCGACAAATGAAGCTATATTATGGTTCTAAAGTGAATGGATCGACTCGACCGGGGAAGGACCACGCTCTCACAGAATACCAGCGTAAAAGAGTACCATAATGCTGCTGTGTTTTATATGGTGAGTGTAGAGAACCGAAAATCCACCCTTTTTACTGGAAATGAGGCATTCCATCTTAGTCCTCAGGGTTGACAACGCTATATCCATGTCCAATTAAAAATATTCATCACCATATGCATAATTTGAAATGTATGCCAGTTGACCCGTTTTTTAGAAGGCCTACAATCAAAAAGGAATCAAAAAAGCGTAATAGAAAATATTTAATTTTTAATGTTTTCAATATTTTGTGTATCAAATGAGCATTTTGTATAGATCTATCAAAGCCTATTACTTCGGTCTTTCAAATCATGCTTCCTGTTTCTGTAAAATGTTTTGTGAAAGTGATGGTTACCAATAGAATTTATCATTTAACCGTGAATAAAAGATGATGATTTCCAGTTTTGATATATTATACAAAAGGTATAGTTTCCGATTTACTGCCTGAACAAACCAAAAACGCTCAAAAGAAAGTCACCATCATTACAGCTCAAGTCAAGTGAAGTCTACCTACTGCTTAACATGGCAAATAATGCAACGAGACGTGTTCGTAAGCCAAGCCACCTGCATATCTTATCAGTCCGTTATCGTTACTCCGTCCATATTATAATCGCAATAGAATCAGTGTAACCAATAGAAGTAGAAAAGTACCTAACAAAAATTTTGCTTATATATTAATAATATATATTTTCAATATAGATTATCATAAGATAATCTATATTGAAAATAATAGCAAATAAGTTTTATCTAAGCTCTTATTTTATAAAAATAATGTAATTTTTATAAGTTTGTTTAAGACAACTTACTCATAGATATTTCAAAATTTAATAACTATTTACAAATTTAGGTTTATACTGTTAACACGATATTGTAATTTTTTGATTTTTTGATATCTTATTTCGATGTTTTTTTTTTTTTTAATAAATTGCAGTAATAAAATACTAAAGCGAAATTTACGGCTATGATGTAAAAATATACTGACAGAAAGGTAAAAAAATAGCGAAGAGAGACGTCGTCACAAATGATTTTTTGAGTTTTGTCACAATTGATAAGTTCAGCAATTGTTCGTTGTCTTATAGTGTTAATCGCTCTGTACAGAGGCACAGGGAATGACATCAAGCGACATGTGTTCGGTTTATTTCAGTTTTAAATTTTTGTCACTCCCGTCCGGTCTAAATTAAATGGGCCGAACGATTTCATTGCTTTCTGTTGTTTTACTTTATTTTCTATCACGATGAAGCTGATTTAAGCTCCGCATCCTTTGATGAAGCAACATCATTTTAGGCGACGGTTTAAATTCTTGATTTTATCTTAAATAGTCCGCACTATAGAAGTACTCTTTTTATTTGTAGAAATATTTAGGCTTTATAAAAATAACAGAACAAAACGCATAAGGAATTTTTTGAAACAATGTTTTTTGGATTATAGTATCGTAAGTTATAACACTGTATATAAATAGCTTAACCATCAGAAAATATTTAAACTACTCGCATGTGACATAGATCACGTGCATGCGTAAATATAATACGTGTGATGAAAGTTTATTCTCGTCGCAATTAACATTTATTTTATTGGCCTATAAAGCCAAGCTCCCCTGAGTTATTATAAACTGCGACGCATCAAGTGGACAGTTTCAATCCACAAAGTCCGGCAAGATTTACTGCGCCACGCTTTGATTTTATGACTTCGCGCCTTTCTTACACAAAGTACGTCAATTGTACAATATTTTTCTTTACAAAGAAGAAATCCGAATTAATATACTCACTTCAGTTACGGATAAAATGGACACTGCGCACGAATTTTTCGATTAAACACAATCAAAAAAGTTACATACACAAACATCCCACAAGTGTTTGATTAATCTAGCACTTTTCACATAGTAAAGAAAAATTAAAAACGATAACTTCGAAATTTGAATCGAGTTGATTTATTTTCAAAATTCGAACGTTCGAGTCAGATGTGCTCGGGTAGTCGTCCGAAAGTTCGGTGTTGTCGCGGCGGAAAACGGCTCGTGTTTTCCCGGCGTTCGGGCATCGAGTGCAGCGCGCGTCTGACTAGGTGAGCGGTTGGGCAGCCGCGCCAAGCGGAGCGGGCGGGGCGGGCGCGGGGCGGGGCGCACCTGGCCCGCCGTACCACGTGTACGCAATCTCTCCCGCTGCCGCTTCCGCGTCCGCTCCACGCGATTAGCGTAATTAGGGTACACCGTCGCAACACCACGTATCCAATTTCAATGAACCGATTGATGATTATTGATGGTAAACGTTCTTCGGTCTACTTTTTGTGTATTTATTTATCGCCATTACGCATTTATAGTTATTTTTCCATTATATTTCAGTCGGTTTTGTGCATTGGTTTCATTTGCAGTAAAATTTTTCACCTGTAATGATATAATAAAAACGGTAGAGCTTGATAGATCTGTTATGATAGCTGTAGTTTTTTGAAGTACAAAGTTATTTACACATTACAAACTTAATAATTAACAAGGATTTCATGAAACCACCACATTAGTTGCAAAAGAGAATTAAATGTTTAATAATGTAGAGATAAAAGTTAAATTCTGCTTGTTATTGTAAATGCACGTCGATTAACGTATACGTTACCAAGATTGCTATCGAATATACTTCCCTTGAGATACCGACCGCATTTACATCAGTACAATTGCACGAAAAACTAACATACACATACGTCAAAAGCAGAATTAAAATGATTCCTCATACGTGGTACTTAGTATAAGTCTAAAGAAGCGGACACTCGCCATGCATCAGTCGTGACGCTACATGACATCTTCGTGAGGAGTAAAAATTGCCGACCGCTATCCATAATAAATAACTCGCACTAGTGTCTATTTTTATACACCCTAGAGTTATTTTACT